GGTGTTACGTCTTTCCAACGGATACGTTTTCTCAAACAAGTTGTAAGAATAGGCAATAGTACATCGCCTTAAACCCAAAAACGTAACCTTTGCGAAGTTATTACGACCATTCCCCCCCCCTAATAAACAAAGCATTTCGTTCCTAGGTTTGTCATATTTGGTAAACCCTGGTCCTGGTTCATTACCCATTTCAGCATGGTAGGAGTTTGGCTTAGTCCCTGGCCAAACATCCTAATCGTACATACTGTAGGTAGATCAATTCATTAGCTCCGTTTCTCGATCCGAGGACAATACTGGCACGTCGACACTGCATGTTCACAACGTACTAAACGGATAATGGTGCACTAAAACGATACATGTTTTGCTTCATTGGGTCTAATATTTTAGAATCGGTTAGGATTTATTATATGTGCTTCATTGGGTCTATTATATTGGGGTATTCGACCACGCGTCTACGTACATGCCCTCGGAGTCTGTGTTGCAAGGATTAGATACGCCAGGAGACCGTATGGGAATGTTTTCGGGTAGATGATAGGCTACAACCAGTAGCATGTTGATACTATGAAAGGTACTATAGCCGTATACACAACCATCGGGTAGATGATAGGCTATAACCAGTAGCATGTTGATACGATTAAAGGTACTATAGCTGTATATATAGCCATCGCGTAGATGATAGGCTATAACCAATAGCATGTTGATACGATGAAAGGTACTATAGCTATATATACAGCCATCAAATGACCGCAGTGGCTATACCGCTTGCGATAGTACTCGAAACTCGCACTTAGAGAAGACAATCGTTGGTGTAAAAGCACACGCCACAATGTCAATACCGAGCAACGGAAAAACGTTAGTAAAAGTGCATTACGTATTGCCACTTGCCAGTAGGAATACCGTGAAGATTGTGCTGTCGACGAATATTGCGGAAACGGGAGTGACCATTCCGGATGTGACGGTAGTTATAGACACCTGCAGACAACGGGAGATGCGCTACGACGACGTTAATGGCACAGATAAACTGGAAGAGTGTTTTGTGTCTCAGGTATGTATATAGACATAAGCTACTTC